TCTAAGTTTCTCTCTCTTTCTCTCCCTGCTATCGGCGCGCCTGGTTGTGATGAAGCCGAGACCCAAGGTCGGCAGAGCATCCCAGACCACGCCACCACTCCCCTTATTCATGGCTCACACATGACCGGTTTACGTGGCCCTAGTAAAAAAAAAAAAAATGCCAAGCAGGAGTTTTCTCACAGTGCAAATTAACATTGTCACTCCAGTCCAATACCATCCCCAACTCATTTGTATACTAGTATAGTTAAACTTTCTCAACTCTCTGAGACTGCCTTCAAAAATAATGATTGTTTATCTGGGCGTTCTCTAGCCCAAGTTTCCGATAATGCAGTGCCATGCCGATAGTGTCTTTTAGGCATGATTCTCTCTCATTCATTGCCTGCGGTCATTCACACCTCCCAAACTGTGCTGCTTCCGCAATCTCTCTCTCTCTCTCTCTCTCACTCTCACTCATTGCCCGAAGGCATTCACGCCCACCAAACTGTGTCACTTTGGCATTAGCTCTCTCACTCATTGCCCGAAGGCATTCGCACCCACCAAACTGTGCCACCTCGGCAACCTGTGCCACTTCGGCATTGGCTCTCTCACTCATAGCCCGAAGGCATTCACACCCACCAAACTGTGCCACTTCGGCATTAGCTCTCTCACTCCTTGCCCGAAGGCATTCACACCCACCAAACTGTGCCACTTCGACAACCTGCGCCACTTCGGCATTAGCTCTCTCCCTCATTGCCCGAAGGCATTCACACCCACCAAACTGTGCCACTTCGGCATTAGCTCTCTCACTCCTTGCCCGAAGGCATTCACACCCACCAAACTGTGCCACTTCGGCAAGCTGTGCCACTTCGGCATTAGCTCTCTCACTCACTGCCCGAAGGCATTCACACCCACCAAACTGTGCCACTTCGGCATTAGCTCTCGCACTCATTGGCCGAAGGCATTCACACCCACCAAACTGTGCCACTTCGGCATTAGCTCTCTCACTCATTGCCGGAAGACACTCACACCCACCAAACTGTGCCACTTTGGCATTATCTCTGTCACTCATTGCCTAAAGGCATTCACACCCTTCACACTTCTGAGCCGCACCGGAGCTCTCTTACACTTCACTGACAAGGAAAAGAGGCAAAAATAGGGTACCAGATATCCGGTTATCGCCTACACAACTATTGCACACTTTTCGGTGTTTGTTTCATTCAGGCTCCTTATCCTTAATTCATGCTTCCGTAGGTACCCATATACCTTATAAAAGTTTCTGTTTTTTTCATGTCCATGGATCATAGTGATGTTACACCATTGGTTTGGCGTAGGGCAAAGCAACGAGAATTACGAGTAACTATAACCCTCACACAGAAGCTGCACGACCCACCAGACCCCTACATCATATTCATCTGCTTGTAAGAAGCTTGTTGCATGGCCTAACCCCTCATTCAATGCAAATTGAATACCTTATGCCAAAAATAGATATTGTTTATCATCAAGTACACTTGCCTGATGGATAATTTAGCCAAGGTGGTATCTGAGGGAATTAACATGCCCTCGGCACATGGATGGCTATCCTGCATCGCACTTGTCAGATTGCCGCTGTGGGTGATACCGGATTTTTCTTGATGCCTTGCCGCTGTCCAAAACTCGGCTAGCCTCCTCCGCTGCAATACCGCTACTGAGGCAGCCATATCAAATCCATCCACTTCCGCGCCACTCCAATACTGCAGCATCTCCGCCATCATGGTTTGATCATTCTTCACGGCCTCCAGACTTAGATGGATGCCGGCTCTCGCACTACACCCGAATCTCTTGCTGCTCATGCAGGGGTTGCTTGCTGACCGGTCGGGGTGTTGCAGCTACTTACTGGACCCCAGAATAATTGTGAAAACCTCTCCACTCGTTCATGTGGCCACAGAGCCCACGCAGGAGCAGCACTGTACGGTATATCCATCATTACCGTGATGTGAGAAAACTCGCTGGCTAGTTGCAGCAATATGTGCGACTGAAGGCAGTACACGACATACGGGTACCGACCGATCGACAGTAGTCGACATATAGGGCGGACCGCCAGCAGGAAATTAGTGGCTGGCTGGCTTCTAAGGGCAAATATGGGTGACCCGCAATATACTGTCTTCTGAACAATGTGCAAGTGATTACTTATAGGTCACAGACTGTCTTAGTCTGTCTGTCACACGTCCCATTGACCAACATCAACATTTAATTTTGGCAGACCTGCAGCAGGTGACACGATGGTTAGCTGACGGGCAGAACTGGACGAATCATTTGACAGATTCCCCGCAGATTTATGTAATATACTGTATGTGATGGACCAGAAGTAGCAGCCATGGCCAAATTTGGCAGACTCGCAGCAGTTGACACTGGATTTGACTGACCAGATCAGAGGCAGCAACGAAGTAAAATGTAGTTGGCTGAACAGCGTCAATGGACAACTTTGGCAGCCTCGCTGTAGATCACACTATATTTGGATGAACAGCCGTAAGAGGCCGTACATGATAATATTATGCTTGGCCAGCAGTTGACGTCGACGTCGAGGACTCTGGCTGCTCAGCAGATGGAAAAAGCGGCCGAAGCAATTACAGAAAAACTATCCTGCCTACGGTCCGACAGGGTGAATATTTGACTTGCCAACAGCTAAGCAACAAATCGTTCAATCACGTCTTCCCTCTGACCACCAGCATCGATTTTCTTTCCTGCTGTAAAGCTACAGTTGAAGCCCTGTTCCCGTCGAGAGAACACTCTTCCATGATCATGATAGACCCAAAAAATTCACACAACTCCAAAATACAAACTGCACCAAGGAAAATCCACTGCGAAGTGACTGGAATGCGGTCAAGCATAACATTTTTGCTAAAGCAAAAAGTTGCAGAGAAATCCCAAAATCAGTGCGATTTTACATGAGCCCCAAATGTTCAAGTTACCCACAAAGACACAAGCTTTCCACCTCTCTTTGACCGTTGGAAAGCGTACCATACATTGGTTACCGTAGCCATGCATTTATGGTAAAAAAAGAGAAGCACAAAATGTTACGAGTTATGAATAACTGTTCACCAACGTGACTAGATTGTATACAGATCTTTCCGAACGTAAGCCTTCCAAGCTGAAAGGTTATTGGTTTGCGCCTTGGAGAAGTGTTGGAGCTACGTGTCAGGTTGCCGATAGTCTCAGTACTCCTTGCCATTTTATCGCACTCGCTGACTGTGTAGGATCTGGTTACGTTGGTGGTCAGTTAGTCAAAACTCGTAACATTTTGTCCTTCTACTTTTTCACAATAAATTAATTAGCTCACTATCAGAGTCGAACCCAGCCATGTATTACTTGCAGTATAATGATATAAAGTTTAACTCGGATGGTGAGCCAATTTTAAAATTATGGAGAAAAAAGGAGGACAAAATGTTACGAGATCACCAACGTAAGCAGGTCTTATACAGTCAGTGAGTGCGACAAAATGGCACACAACTTACAAGGAGTACCTGGACATTCGGCGACATGACACCTAGCTCCAACACTTCTCCAAGGCGCAAACCAACACCCTTCCAACTTGGAATGCTTCGGTTCCGAAAGGTCCAAGAGGGGAAGGAAAGCGCAACGAAGAAGAGCACGAGCTGCGCATCACGGCAACAAAGAATGCCGAAAGTTACTGGATGATGACGAAACTAGTAAGACTATTGGACAGACTGGCCTTACTAATTCTCAAAGACGCAAAGCAACAGACCACCCAACTTGGGAGGCTCAAGTTTATGTAGTAAACATATAAAGGGGAAGCTAAGCCTGAGCCATACAAGTTTGAAGGTTGCTGGTTTGCGTCTTGGGAAAGTGCTGGAGCTGGGTGTCAGGTCGCCGAATGTCTCAGTACTCTTTGTCAGTTTCGAGCTATGTTATCGAACTCGGTGACTGTATAAGATCTGCTTACATAGGTGGACAGTTAGTCATAACTCGCAGCATTTTGTCCTCCCTTTTTCACCATAATTTAATTGGCTTACCATCCGAGTTAAACTTTGCACACCTGATGAGCCGTCACGACCTATAGGACGGCGAAACGTACGTCATGTGTGACTACTCGCTATGCTACATAGCTAGTTCATCATACATGATAGTGGGATTCAGAAGGAAGGTGGCGTTTTGAATTGTCACAATTCGTCTTCGCTTAGCTTCCCCTTTTATGATTTTTTTACATAAACTTGAGCCTCCCAAGTTGGGTGGTCTGTTGGGTGGTCTATTGCGTTGCGTCGACGAGTTGTGGTAAGGCCGGTCTGTACAATAATCTCACTAGTTTCATCATCATCCAGTAACTTTCGGCATTCTTTGTTGCCATGATGCGTAGCTCGTGCTATGCTTCTTTGTGGCGCTTTCCTTCCCCTCTTGGACCTTTCCGAGCATGAGGCTTCTAAGTTGAAAGGTTGTCGGTGTGCGCCTTAGAGAAGTGCAGGAGCTAGGTGTCAGGTCGCCCAATGTCTTAGCACTCCTTGTCAGTTTTGTGCCATTTTGTCGAGCTCATTGACTGTATAAGATCTGGTTACGTTGGTGGACAGTTATTCAGAACTCGTCACACAAATTCTGTCCTCCTTTTTTCACCATAATATAACTAGAGAGCGTGTGTGGTCAGGTGCGTGGGCAGGCGTGTGTTTACCGCAACATTGCCATGTGTGTCTTTACTACCATATTAATCAACCATAATATAACTAAATAAAATAAATCAATGTGTACGGACTTTTTGATATTGTCATCTACTGTCAGGGCTGAATTTTCATGCGAGGGGACTTGATCTTCTTAATATCCTGCTGTTTTGCAGAGCTGAAAGTATTTAGGTCTCTCTTCTAGAAGATCAAAGTGTCCACACTGCTCACCTTTGGAAGATGTTGAGTCACCTCCACCATTACACTGCGCTCTTTAGCCGACTAGACCTGTCGCACCCTTTAATAATAGCTCACTGTTGGGACTCTGAATAGGAACGTTAACCGGTTCGTGGGAAAAACAGGTAGTACACGTGGTAAAGCGAGCTTTCGAAAGTGTTTTCGAAGGATTTGTACGAGACCGAAATTGGAGAGCATAATTATTATGATGAACAAAGAACTCTACAAAGCGATTGCGTGGATCACTTCATTCACAAAACCCGATGTATGATAGCTGTGTGCAGCGATGTGTTAAGTTCTGCTAATTTGACGGTGACGAGACGTAAGCTAGAAACAAAGGCTTTTTTGTAATGTAAACACAAGTTGTCCTCCTTGTAGAAGGATGGTCATAAGATGGGATGTTGCTACAGGCAAAGGTGTAATTTGTATTACAGGGCAAACAAGGAGATGTACACAAGCCTAGTAAGATAGGCAACGGTTGGTCGTCATTATTATGAATGTGTTCGTGTGGTGTACACTTTCAACAAGTAAACTATGCACCTAAATTGTGGCCTGCTAGCTTTCACATCTGTATGTGAGCGCACGCTCATATAAATGTGTGCGCTACTTGCTTTAGCAATACATGTATGCATTTTGTCTTCCGTATTCGTTCGAGCATGAGGACACGACATTGGGAGTTCCCTGAATGACCTTTTTCTCGAGTATTCACGTTCTTGATGAGGTCGATTTATTCATCTGTTGCGATACGATCTACGCGACTTTCACCACTATGAACGATCCAGTGTGTGCATGCGTTCATGAGACTGTAGAGTTGATAGCTGCGTGAACGACGCTCCACATGTCTTGCATCTGTAAGGTCCATCTCTAGTATGAATACGTTCATGAACCCGAAGATGTGAGCACTGCTTGAATGATGATTCACATGTGTCGCACTTGTAAGGCCTCTCCCCTGTGTGAATACGTGTGTGGCAACGTAGTTCGGAAGATGTCTTGAACGATGCGTTACATGTCTCGCACGAGTAAGGCCTTTCACCTGTGTGAGTACGTTCATGTCGACGTAGAGGAGATGATGCCGTGAACGATGCTTGACAAACCTTGCACGTGAATGGTTTCTCACCGGTATGAATACGTCGGTGTACTAGTAAACTACTTGAATGAGAGAAGTACTTGCTGCATACATCACACTTGAATGTTCGCTCTCGTGTATGAACACGCTCATGCTCACGAAGTCCGGTTCCCTTACAAAACTCTCTCGGGCAATACCGACACTTCAGTAACGTTTTAGACATAGAACACGTCTCTTGATCTGGAACCGTAGTGGCAGCCGGAGACCCTACAGGATCATGTCGGATATAATGTCCCCGTCCTACTTGCCTCCTATTCTCATCCACTTCCTTAGCCGTATCTTTATTTCGGTTTTCAGAAATTCCCTCACCTTCAAACGGAATTCTGGCTAAAGATGCAATCTTTGGCGGTTTCAGCAGCGGTTGTCCAGGCTGTACTCGACGAGCATTGCCAAGACACGTTGAAGATGAGTCTCCTCCGTCTCTAATCATACCAGATATACCCGATGTTGCCTCCTTCTTCACTTCCTCGTGGGCGTTGCGAAGAATAATCGTGTTTGTTGATGATGTCCCATCATACGGGTTCACTGTTGCAGCAGCATCCCTGGCAGTGGAGACATTCCATGCCGCCATATCAGCCACAACCTCTGCAGCAAGACTATGTTCATCTTGGTATTGGTACCTGCTACATGTATTATGTGCAGCAGGTTGGTCTTCGTTGAGGTAGATGCTCAACTCTCTGATTTTGTCTTCGCTCCACAGCATATCAACATCATTGGATACAACATCGGTCCAAAGATCCTTCTGCTGATCGCTGATCTGCGTACCGCTGTGGAACGAAACAAACGTAAACAATAGTACTGCTGTTGTTCAATTTTAACGGACTCTACGCACATAGATGGGGCAAAGCATTACGGTTATGCAATTGGAAAAACCATTGAATACGACTAGCTAGTACAAAATACCAAGTATTCCAACCTTACACGATTGAACAACAGTATGGGTACGGGTCATGATTAACATTCCAACCCTATTTTTTAGCAAGAAACTGCAATAATCAGACAGGCCCTAAAATACCTGGGAGTGATCACTCGAGTACTTGTCACGAGTGACAATCAACCACATGCTTAGCCAAAAAGTTCAACAATTATACACATCATTGACATGGAAATCAACCGTCACCGACCTAACATCTACCATATAAACGAAACTTAATTAACACCCTTACACCCAAAACCATATCTATAGCAACATACAACAACATTCCATATTTCAGAATACAGTCGAGTTAGGGCAATTAGAACAATTGACAGATCAGCAATTTAGTTCCGACTTACATCGCTTCCTGAGCAGGTCCTTTTTGGAGTGAAGCTTCCGGAGGAACTCCTAAACCAGGGAAACTTCCAACTGTGCGAACAGATGGCATTGGCGTCGCGGAATTGCATGGCGAGGTATCTACTCCGCCTATACCACGCAACGTCGGAATCTGCATTTGTACACAATGTGAAAGCGTGCGTTTTTTGATGACCATTTTTATTATCACATGTATCCTTCACTGATGTCACTGTGAGTCACATCTTGGTTGTTCAATAAAAGCACATAATTATATTATGTGTTTCATGGTCCATTGCTACAACGATGGATCCTGTTGAGTGGCATACGAAAACTTGTTCGAATCGTTCTTCATTTTCACTATTGCACATTCTTCTAACATTGATAGTGCACAATATTTCCAACGATTTATACAGTTTCCATAAAGTGTGCCCAGGTCCGTTCAGCTTGTTCTCTTCACAGTTTGTTCATTGACGCCCATAGTTAATTGATGTATAACACCGAGGAATCCGCGAGGTGGGTGTGAGGATCAAACCCTCTTCCTATTTTGTTATAACACACACTCTAGGTGTTATGACTGCTGTGTGAAGACTATCTCCCCTGCCCCCCCCCCCAACCCCTCAACTGAATTGAGTTGCATGTGTTTGGAACATCGTTATAGACAATACATACTGCCTTCACATAGTGTCCACGTCCTTGTGTAGAATCACAAACTGTCCGAGTAGAAGCGGACCTTGAAATGTCCTCCACATAGTGTCCACGCCCTTGTCCAGAATCACACACTGTCCGAGTAGAAGCGGGCCTTGAAATGTCCTTCACATAGTGTCCACGTCCATGTCCAAGGTCACTAAATGTCCGAGTAGAAGCGGACCTTGAAATGTCCTTTGAGCAGTAGTCTTCGGGAGTCGTGTATTCGTCACCAGCCGTCAAGAATTCGTCCCCAGACAGTCTCTGTGTATGTCTTTCTCGGGAAACTCCGGCACTTGTTTGGACACGAGACTGAGTTTGCGGAGGATTGAGGGCGGTAGTCTGCACTGTTTGTTCCATTGTAGCCGCGTTCCTCGCTTTCTGCTCGTTGATACTATACTCGTATAGTCGTTCCTCGCCAAGGCAAATAGATATCGCTCGATCGATATTTTCTTGGCTCCAGCTATTATGCTCATCTTTGGCTACATTTTCTTGATCACTGCGTTGGGAATCGCTGTTTTCCCGGTGTTCCATAGCACTTTGCCCGTATAATTGAATCCCGAGAGGAAACTTATTCGGGTTGTCGAATATGAAGAGAACCACACTTCTAAAGAAACTGGCTGGCAGCTGAACACACAAACATGAAACTATAAACTTCAACACTCAACTCTGGCCAGACTATCATAATGAGCACGGTATATAATTCATAGAGATATAACTATGTCATTCAGACTATAATGCGGAAACTGGGAACGTTTCACCGTCAATTAGTATTTTCTTCGATAAATGAGTTGCATCAATCTTCACCGTGTTTAAATCATTATCTTACGTGATATATTACGTTTCGTAGGGTTGAGGAGTTTAGCACGCCATTGTTTAAAGTGCAACATCTCACGAGAAACAAGACAAATTATCGAACTTTGATAAGCAGTTCCAGTTGTTGTACATACTGATATGAGCAGACAACGGAATGTTTGAAGCAGACCACAAGAGTGCTAAAATATAAAGATAAGAATTTTATTTCCTAGATGAGGTGCCAGCCACACAAAATTCCCCAAGAAGAGATATTGTTCGCGAAGTAACATGCTGATATTTTTGGGGTCTCGTGCTCGTCCTTTTTGTGATCTGAGTTGCTGGAGTTCGCAGTAGGTAGCGAGGTGTGGATTGGCCTCAGGGCCTGTGAGAAGCGAGTGAACGTCCTGCAAAAATTGTCTCTAAAAGATCGATACTCTAATCAGTGGCAACGCAGGGCCGTTTGACCGCGCAGAGTGTGATCTCAGCCCGACTCCCTCGACCTGGCAAGAAGTATATTTGAAATTCAGCTCGTAATGAAAATTCTATTCCTAGCACTCGGATGACAACGCTCCAATCCTCCAATAATGTGTCGAGATCATCACGTTACCTGGACGCAGCAAAACAGACTTTTATCACAGCATGTGTTTATGTAATAGTGTGTGATATCAAACATGCATGGACGTGATCCATACAGTTCTCCATTATCACTTCACGATAAGCACTGCGCGATTATTGTAGACAGCGCCAGTATATCTTCGAAGCCCCCTTGGATTGCGCTTATAATAGTGACTGGACTTCTACCAAAGACTGCGTTTGTAATATAAATAATACGGTATAGATCAGATGGATGTGGAGATGTTATGTATCATTGAAATCAACAATATTCCCTTGGTCTATGTTGCCCCTGCAACACAATAATCCACATCCTTGCCGGCAACATACAATCACAGTTGGCATCCTAAAATATGCACGAAACAAAAGACCAACTTACGAGATACATGAGATAGCCGTCAATGTACGTCTTTACCCAACGGGTCCCTCTTTAGTGAGAGCACATGAAAAGCACGTCTATCCCCATATCGTGAAGTCTAGTGTATCATGCCGGATCATTGGTCACTCAGGCAACATAACATCATCATATATCATAGCATTGTGAAAATCCTGATGCTAATCAACCTGATTTTCCAGATTGTGATTCCGTTCGTGATTGCTTATCAACTCGATAGCATCTGTCGATCTGCATGTAACGCGGTGGTCGGCGCAAGGCGAGTTCCAGGGACGCAAACATATCGATCACACACATGTTGTTGTTCTGCACTTGTGCAGAGCTACCTTGCTGCTCCTCTATGAATGGCCATCGTTTTCTTGGATGTAGCCATGACTCTATGTGGAGGTGATGTGAATAATATTCAGGTGGGGTAATGTTGGCATGGCGGTGGTTTGTTCTTAGCACCATTGTGTACTCTGTACCAGCACTCGTTTTTGGACACAAAAATATCATTCGTATTTTTGGCCCATTTCGAGGTGGTCTAAAAGTCCCAAAGTGTTCGTCAGTTGTGCAACAAATCCTTTTGCATAGTTGTTGTGGACATCAAAAGAAAACATACTTGCATCATTCGAGCAAAAGAGAAGAGGTGGCCCCTGCCCAGCACTCCTGGCTTTCACATACCTGCTCTCTTGAAAAGCGGGATTTCGGAAGTGTTCTGGAATGATTTTTTTGTTACTAGAATTGGAAACTACATGAACACAGAATTCTACAAAAACGTTTGCGTGGAAGAATTGATTCACAGAGCATGATAAAGGATAGATGTGTACAGCAATGTAGTATGTACTGCTACGTGGACACTGACGAGACGAAAGCTAGAAACAAAGGTGTTTGTAAAGAAAAACAAATTGTCCTACTTGCGGCAAGACTCAGACTCGAATGAATGAGCCAGCCGCTCATTGCCGACATTTGCGCCAAGTCTTCTTCACGCATCCTCGTGTTACCCTTCTGCAAGCTCACCTCCTGCTGCAGTAAAGAAGTACCATGACCGTCTGTGTGCTGCATACAGCAAAGTGCAGTTCTGCATAAAGGAGACCAATGAGGAGATCGAATAAATAAACTACATAGAGTTCAGCAGTTCAGCATAAAGGTGGTCAATTTGCAAGATTCGCACTTTCTCTTCATTAGTCTCCTCTATGCAGAACTGCACTTTGCTGTAAGCAGCACACAGACAGTCATGGTACTTCTTCCCTGCAGCAGGAAGTGAGCTTGCTCTGCCCCTATGCTGCAGATCCACGGTAGGAAAATCAGTAGCCAAACTAGATTAGGCAACAGGTGCTTCAAGTAGTAGCGCAAGCTAGAGGGATCAACTACCGTACTGGCAATATATGTTGCCGCAGTGAGGCCATGAAGCGTCACATTGGCACATGTTTGCCGCACGCAGGGTGTTACATGCAAAGTCGCATAGGAGCCGTTACACAGGTTTCTATATTGCCGCAGTCCTTTTTTGCTATTGCCGCATCACTTTTTTTGAATGAACAACAACTGCTTCTCCTCTGATGAGTTCCCCGTTATTATCTCTATGGAACGAAACAAGACTTGTCAGGAGTACTACTACTTGCTTTCGTGGAGTGTGGCTGGTGAACTGTTCGTGCTGTGATCTGCAAGCGCCGTATGGTCTCGTCGTGTCAAAATGAAAAACCTACTACTACTGTATTTGACGGACCTATTGAAGATGGCACAAAGAATTCTATAAACAGTTCCGCATCCAAAAAATAGAATGGCCAAAGCTACACGAACCCTGAACCTGCAGTCCCCAACACTTGACAGAACTGTATCAAGTATGATCCGTGCCATTCCTCTGCTCTGCCTGTTAAAAAACATATGAGATATCGCATACTAGTACATAAGTGAAACGTCACTGCATATTGCCGTAGCATTTTTAGCAATTTAGTAGCAGCACACTGCATGTGCTTGCCACATCAGACCAGATTACTATGTGCTACTTCGAAGTATAACAGTACCTGGTGGCATACTTGCTGTCTGACACGTAGCTCGCCTAGTTGCAGTAGTAGTGGAATCTATTCTCGAAGCTATACAAAATTGTGTGTGTGTGTGTGTATATGTGTGTATGTCTGTGCCAGCTAGTTCGGTTGGTGGGTACACTTATGCCAGATAGTGTTAGGCCTGTTGCCAACGGGCTCGGCTGATTGAAGGTGTATTGTTGTACCTACCACCTTTGTTGGTTTCAGGGTTCATATACTTTCTGTTTGAAGTATACATACCTGTTAACCATGGACTGCTTCTGGCTAGACTAACTCTTGTGTAATCAATGGTGCTAGTGAAGCTTGTATCAGATCCACTCTGATTTAGCCACCCACACTAGTACCAAGTATTACCTTCACTGGGGGCAGGGGTACCTGCAGTTGGATCCCGGGACGGATACCCTGATGCCGTCAATCCTTTTTCTGCACCTTGTCCTCACCCACTTACTGAGGTGTGGTGAGCCCATAAGTGGGATCATTTCAAGTCCACCCTAGTTTGGGGATTTCAGGGGGTGTCGGCCGTAGGGTGGTTCAATGGCCAATTGAGTCATCTTTCCAAGATTCCTTTGGAGTCTCTCTCCCCTCTCCCGGGGAGACCCACGTGACCAGTTTTGGCAGTGAGCAACAAGTACAAGTACAAGTGTATGTCTGGGTGTGTGGGGGTGTGCGTGGGTGTCTATGAGAAAACACGTGGGGCTTTGCGTGAATTTAGCACCACATTGTCTTCTTTGAATAATTGTTGTGTTATCATTATCTTTATGAATCTAGCACGTCACGGTCGGTGCGATGTAGCACATCATAGCATCACAAATTGCATATAACTGTTCCTTTGCAAACTTGCACACTTTTGCATACCTGATGAGGGCAATTTTGCCGAAACTTTTCCAAACTTCATCGCGCAACACAAACCGGCGATGGCGCCTCCTTCTATACTTGAAGTACATGTGAGCGACATTCAAATATTGGTTTCAACGGCAGGACTATGACATAAAAGCAACTTGGTAGAATTTGTATGTTACCGAAGGATATCTACAGGGAATGCATGGAGAGCGGTAGTGTGGGTTCGAATCCCATATTATGGGTGGAAATTAAAAAAAGAAGTAAAGAAAACAATGTCTAACGTTTTAACGTCCAATTATTTTTTGTTATTTGAAAAAACCGTTATCGCTATATTTCTGTGCAAAGATATTCATACAGATGGGTGGCCAGGTAGCCATCGTTAAACTTTCTGCAAGCTATCATGGCAAAATTACAAAAACGTTAAACTTTTTGGTCTTTAGACTTTCCGGTTTTACAGTATAGAAACTCGGGCTTTGATCCAATAGTAAAAGAGAAATAGACCGATAAGTCACTTATCCCGTACCGTTCGACATTCTTTGTTGCCGAGATACATAGCTCGTGCACACCTTCGTGGCGCATCCCTTGGAACTTTCCGCATCTGAGCCTTCCAAGTTGGAAGGTTGTTGGTTGGAGCTTTGTAGATGTAATGAAGTTGAAGACACCACAGCAGCTGTATTTATGGTTGATAAATATGGTGGTAAAGACACACCTGGCATTATGGCGGGTGTGTCTTTGCCACCATATTTATCAATCTTTATTCCCGTAGCTATGCAGAAGACGTTACTTCAGTAACGTCTGGCGCTAGCCAGGGTCCACACAGCTTTAATTCCCGTAGCTATGCAGAAGACGTTACTTCAGTAACGTCTGGCGCTAGCCAGGGTCCACACAGCTTTAATTTGGTGTTTGTTTGTTTGTGTGTTTGTGTCACGCCTGGCGCTATCCCGTATCTGTCCCGTACCGTACCGTACCAGGGTCCACACAGCTTTAATTCCCGTAGCTATGCAGAAGACGTTACTTCAGTAACGTCTGGCGCTAGCCAGGGTCCACACAGCTTTAATTTGGTGTTTGTTTGTTTGTTTGTTTGTTTGTGTCACGGCTGGAGCTATCCCGTATCTGTCCCGTATCTGCCCCGTATCTGTGACTACAAAGGCTCTACAGGATTTTACATAACAGCTGTCCACAATATTTGCGGGCTCCTGTATCTGTCCCGTACCGTAACAATATTCGTCGTATTATGTATACGACTCCTTGATGTAGAGGGAGATTTGGAAAGAAATAGGGAGACGAGGAGGAAATTAAATTAGAATAGACGCCGAATAGGTGATAGGATGCGTCACCATAAACATACTTTGGAAGAGAGATCCCATCGTCTCCAAAATAAGCGTGAACGAGCGATTCAGCGCCGGTCACAGGAAACGTCGGAAGAGAGATCCCGTCCACTCCAGAACGCCCGTGATCGGCAGAGTCCGCCGGTCCCAGGCAACGTCAGGACAGACATCCCGTTGAGTCCAGAACGCCCGTGATCGGCAGAGTCAGCGCCGGTCCCAGTAAACGTCAGGACAGACATCCCGTCGACGTGCCGAAAAACTAAATCTGCACCCTCTTTTGCCGTCGGACAGGATACGTATTATAGGAGACTGTAAAGTTATGTAATGTCCAAATTTCGACATGAGCAGCAGGTCACTCGCGTTGATTTTTCGACGTGCGAGCCAAATAACGCGAGCTGAACTTTCGCGTCGCAGACATCCCGTCGACGCGCAGAAAAACTAAATCTGCAGCCTCTTTTGCCGTCGGACAGGATACGTATTATAGGAGGCTGTAAAGTTATGTAATGTGCTCCACAAGCAACCAAGCATTCGGCGAATTCATTGGCTCAACAGGTCAATGTACATGTATTACTACAAAAAGGCCAGAAAATCCGATTACTGTATTAAAATTCAACTAATTTTCGCTGGCGATTTAATTTCGCTGATTTCGCCGCTTGGTACCAACCGGCCAAAGTAAATCGCAGGCCAAAGTTTGTCATATAGGCAAATGATGCATGATTGAGCAATGGATGCATGAGAGAGCAAAAATACCGATCGGTTTCAAATTTCACGTGAAATTGCGCGTCACGTCGGAAATAACGTGCATTTCTCATCGGCCAAAATTTGTTGATTTACAGTATAAGGAGATAAAAAGAAAAGAAGGAACAAACCAAAAGTAGATGATTATTAGAGAAATAACAATCCGCAATAAATTCTGCAAATACTTTTGCTTAACTCATAATATTGAAACCGATTGAAACAAAAATGCCAGTAAAACCCAAGTTATGTTTGTGAGACCCCGTGGGTGTCTGGATGGACCATCTGAAGTGAAGTGTGGTACCACAGTGCTTGATGTTACTCCAGTCACGAAGTATCTCGGTGTCATGCTTGATGACCAACTGTCCTGGAAGCCCCAAGTGGACTTTATTGCCAGCAAGACTGCTACTACAATCGGGCAGCTCTGGCGCCATGGACGGTGCCTTTCACTCAATGCCCGCCGGGCCTGGTACATGAGTATGATCCAGTCTGTTCTCTGCTATGCCTCAAACTGTTTCTTTCCTGCTCTATCCAAACTGCTGCTACATCGACTGCTACGCATTGCTAAGTCTGGCATACGAGCCATCTTCCAACTCCCCAGAAGGACCCCCACTGCTCCCCTATTTGCCAGACTATCAATGCCTCAGCTCCACCAGCTGTACGTGCAACGTCTGCTTCTCTTCGTCTTCCGCTGCCTTCATGGCAGAGCCAGCTCACTGTTCCAATCCTACTACTCCCTCATTGCCACGGATGTGGACAGAAGTTGTGTCACGCGTGGTCAGGTCAGCCAGCTGCTCAGAGTGCCGTTCCTACCTGGTCCCTCAGGCCGTAGCTCTATCGCCTTTGTTGGCAGTACCACATGGAACTCTCTCCCTGCTGATATTCGCGCTTGCGACGTACGCCACACGTTTCAAGCATTGCTGTCTGGCTATGACCTCATCTCCCTCGTCAACTAGCTCTCCGATGTTGTGCCAACTATGTCTTCTTCACAGATTCTGCCTGAACAGATGCTCATCAATTATGTTCTTGTCCTCTATCCTAGTCCAAATCCTGCCTTGCCCATGCATGACTCTCATGAAATGCCCGTACTAAATAGTCTATAGAACAAGAATATTGTATATAATACTTCTCTCATCAACTATGATAATACCCATTTCATACCCCCCCTTCATAAAATTAATACCTACTGTTTTCTTTCCTTTCATTTCATCTTCTTTTCCGTTCCTTTCTTCTTCATACACATTTTAAACATTTTCATCATATTGTGAGAGCCGTGGGCCAACAGCCCCGGTGAGAAGGCAGTCTTGCCTGTTCATATGGTGAAGTAAAATAAAGAAACAACAACAAACAACAAACGTTTTTGCAAGACAGTGATGTGGCCAATCAACGGAAAAAGACATTTCCATCAGTTCTTATAACATGTACGATGAGCTAGGCAAAAAGGCATAAAAGCATAGCGTAGGGCCCTGAGCTTCCAAGCTCTCTCGTTTGGTATTTGTTTGTTTGTGTGTTTGTTTGTTTGTTTGTGTCACGCCTGGCGCTATCCCGTATCTGACGGCAAAAAATCATAGGGATGTTATACATTTTTCAATTCTCCTATTTTTTCAGGCATATCCTGGGATTCGAACCCGCACTATCGCCCTACATGCATTCCCCCATACACTTCGCATTCATATTCATTCTTCCAAGTTGCTTCACGTTATGATCTTGCGTTTGAAAGCCCTATTTGAATATTGGGGGCAGCTGTATGTGGCCAGCTGTATTTGATGGTACGGTACGGGAGACGGTGTCGTATTACCCTCGATCGTACCTCTCCCGTACCTATCCCTTCCGTACCGTACCATCAAATACGGCTGGCCACAATGCATATTCAAATAGGGCTTTCAAATGCAAGATCATAATGTGAAGCAACTTGGAAGAATTAGTATGTATGCGAAGTGTATCGGGGGATGCATGCAGGGCGCGATAGCGCGGGTTCGAATTATTATTATTATTATTATTATATTTTCTTATTTTAAAGAGTCGGCGTGGAGAAAGCAATTTTATTAGTGCAATTAGGAGTATAATCGATGCAGACATGGCCAGACAACAACGAGTTCATGGAATTTTTAAGGATTTTTATGTTATTCAAAATCGATTTTCGTGTTCCGCTCATCAGTGAATAGTATCGGAACTGAGGGTACTGTGTACAAAAATAGAACATTTTATAACAGCATAATTAATTAAAAGTGTGAACAACAAAGGAAGTGCTACAGCATTACATAATAGGTGTCAAACATAGTGCTAACGTATATAACTGAGTGCAGCCAAAAAGCAAAAAGTCAGCTGTATTTTGTCACTTGTTATCACGTCCAGATTGTCTTAGTGTGTAAGATGATTCTCACTTTTCTGTTTTGTGCCGTGCAAGTTATGTTAAGCAGTTGAAGGTTCTGGAAGCTGTATGTATTCGTGTGCATAATCCTGTTCTTTGTAAACAAAAGAAGCATGTAGTCGCGCTAAAGTTGTTCTCGTAGCTGGTTATCAGATGTAAATGTTGTGTCATGTTGCACTGTATCACCTCTTGCTTTGTGGCTGCACTCAGTTATATACGTTAGCACTATGTTTGACACCTATTATGTAATGCTGTAGCACTTCCTTTGTTGTTCACACTTTTAATTAATTATGCTGTTATAAAATGTTCTATTTTTGTACACAGTACCCTCAGTTCCGATACTATTTTCTTATTTTGTTAGGGATTTCCCAACAGGCAATGTTGCCTTTTTACTGGGAACCCTAAATGAGACTTTGTGTGAGCGCGAAACAAAGCAGGCGACTCGGCCAGGCGACAAGATGGAGGCAGCGCATTCCATCTGTCGGCACCAAGATACGCAATGGAATGGAAACCATACCGGGAGTGGCAGGCAGGCAAGACAAGAGCAGCTGTAGCTTGGCCCCGGGTTGTGGCAGCAGAATGTGGGCCAGTGCAGCGGGGAGTGAATTGGAGGCTGAGAAGTGGGCTAGATAAACCATGCAGACAGCGAAAGACAAAGACGTATTGCTTGAAATTTAAGCGTTGCTCTAGTGTGTAGATCTTGGTGTAAGCGTACAGTGTCTCAGTGGGAGTTCTGCGGTCAAGGGCAAATATTCTTTTAAGACTAGTACGGCTGGCTGTGATCAGCTGGTTGTATGAACGGTGAGATAGACAGTTAATGTAGGCAGAGCTAGCATACTCAAGGGTGGATTGAATAATAGATAGATAGAAAAGACGACGCGCTCTGTGGTTCAGGAATCCCAGGTTATGTCTTAAAAAAAGGAATTTTTTAAAGACCGGGGCATGCATGCAGGGCGCGATAGTGCGGGTTCGAATCCCAGGTTATGTCTTAAAAAAAAGGAATTTTTAAAGAATTTATAACATCCCTATGCTTTTTTTTGTCTAGGTCATCAAGGCAAAAAAGCATAGCGTAGGGCCCTGACCTTCCAAGCTCTCTCGTAGATGTTTTAGAACTAGGTGTGAGGTCGTCGATCAGGTCATGGAATGTCTCAATATCCTGTTCAGTTTTGCGCCTTGTTGTCGCACTACCGGTATCTGACTCTATAATGGTCACCTTGGTGGACTGTTAGTCATAACTAGTAACTTGAATGTTCTTTTTCTGTGAACATAGAATATAGAGTAATATATCTTTTAAGTGAGCATTGGTTAATAATTGCCTGGTCCATATTTCCATCAGACCTGTGAAGACTGCATTTTCACAAAGATAAAAATAGTAGAAAACCTAAAGGCAAATCACGTTGAAAAAACCTGAAACCACTCTTATCCGGTATACAATGTAATGACAAAAAATATGAATATTTTGAGTAGAGGAACCTACTTTACTTGCTTAGATCAGCAATTCACGGCAGCATTATGGCGGTCACCTGACATGCGCCCCCTACAAGCCATGCATCCCTAATGGCATTAACCTCTGCCTATCACACTGCAGCAACCAGCAGGCACTTATGCAGCACATTCATGCTCTTCTCCTTGGCTGTACGTGATTAGGTAGAATGGATACGCCTGGCAGTTGTTGTAGACCATGTAGACACGTGTTCCCTTGGTAACGCCGTTCACTGTGTCATAGCGGATGTCACCTGAATAGAAAGAGAACCGCGAGAAGAGAAGTCGTGCATTGATGATGTAGCAAACTGAGATGGCAGGCGTGTATGTGTGTGTGTGTGTGTGTGCGTGTGTGTGTGTGTGAGTGTGTGTGTGTGTGTGATTACGCACGTGCGTGCGTGTGTGTGTGTGTGTGTGTGTGCGTGCGTGTGCGTGTGAGCTTGCAAATGTGTATTTGAGTGTGAGAGATTCAGATGTCAGATAGAGACAGTAAAAGAGAAAAGTGAAAGACACTGTAGCAGCGACTGAGAAAAGGAGACATACATATGCACAAGTACAACATACATGGATGATGTGATTGATAGATAGAAAGAGATTTGAGCTGGAAAGACGTTTTGGTATGGGTAGCACACTGATGAACGAAGTGCTTACCAAAGGTTGCTGAGGACTCTGCTGGTTTGAGAGGAGGTACACGGATAGTCCTGTCTTTTTTCAACTGAACACTGTCGCCAATAAGGACCTGGGCGGGCAGTGACAAAAAGGGGAAAATAATACAAACCATGATAACTACACCATAGCTCAGTGGTTAGAGCATCGCTAGCTACAAGCGAGGGTCCCTGGTTCGAGTCCTGGTGGTGACAGTCAATTTTTTCTTCAGACTTTTCCCGTTTGTCTCTTTCCCTCAAACTAGTGAAGATTTTATGACTTGGGGCTCCCCGCGTGCTAGAGTGTACGTGAAGTGTGTGGGTACAGTGAGGGCTGCGTCCCACCCGCCTGTGTGGATTCACAGGAAGTGTGAGCTACGAAGTCTGAAGAAAATGTTGAACAGTCTCTGCTGGGATGACGACTACACCATAGCTCAGTGGTTAGAGCATCGCTAGCTACAAGCGAGGGTCCCTGGTTCGAGTCCTGGTGGTGACAGTCAATTTTTTCTTCAGACTTTTCCCGTTTGTCTCTTTCCCTCAAACTAGTGAAGATTTTATGACTTGGGGCTCCCCGCGTGCTAGAGTGTACGTGAAGTGTGTGGGTACAGTGAGGGCTGCGTCCCACCCGCCTGTGTGGATTCACAGGAAGTGTGAGCTACGAAGTCTGAAGAAAATGTTGAACAGTCTCTGCTGGGATGACGACTACACCATAGCTCAGTGGTTAGAGCATCGCTAGCTACAAGCGAGGGTCCCTGGTTCGAGTCCTGGTGGTGACAGTCAATTTTTTCTTCAGACTTTTCCCGTTTGTCTCTTTCCCTCAAATTAGTGATGATAACTGTAGGATGGCTAATTGTTGCTAGTACAATGTTATGCGTTTTCTGAATCAGGACCAGTTTATGATGAAGATTTTAGGTTTATAAATGCTGACTACTACTTTACTATACTTCACTACTTGCAAAATTTCGATTGCCGCGACAAAACATTAGCGAAACCACTCCTTTCATTAAAATCGCTACACTATCGCTAGCGCTGAAATGTTGTATTTCTCGCCGGCCAAGCGCAGCGGCCAACTACCCTTCACTTCGTGTGTTGTCGCTATTGCTGTCTATGTGTATGTGTATGCCAGTATATGTGGAGCGACAATAGCCGTTTACAGTAATTAATTAAGACTGGTTACTGTGCTACACAACGAAGATAGAGAGAAGACACAATCGGTGAATGATGGCAAGAGCCTCACAAACTTAAGAAGCTGAACTGCTGGTGCGTGAACGTGTTTCCTCTCGACTTAAAGGCGGTGCAGTCCCTCTGCCTCGATTAAACAGATCATTGTTGTGCTCCTTCCAGCTAGACAAAACCTACTACAGACAGTGAAGCCAATTTGTTGATCATCATGTGATCATGCCTAGGGCTTCTTGATGCCATATATACATGTCCACTGTACGGAGACATTGAACCAGTTTGCCATGCGGAAAGATCAAAAGGAAGGCAATGTACAACACAAACACAAACGCATACGAAAATACAAACCCACGCGCACATACAAACACACACACGCATACACACAAGAACACATGCACATAAACGCACAATCAGATCCCTTACCTGAGCAAGAAATACTTGCTTCTTGCCATCAGGCAGTTTATGGGCGAAGGCGTTAGAATACTTGGCCTCAGTAGCAAAATAGTTTGCTTCTCCCCAAATTCCCTTCGCCGAGAACCGCATGTCAAATCCGACTTCACTCTTGAATATCTGCAGTACAAAAAGAGTGAATGATACTTAGCCTGTAGAAATCTTGAAATTGAGTGATTGGTAATTATTGGAAAGGTAAATGAAACTCAGGCCGGCATAGTGTGCTGGTTTTAGGCCATGATTGAGAAACAGAAGGTACCAGGCTCAAGTGCTGCTTGGAAGCGGAAGGAATTTTTCAAGCCCTGCTGCGACCCACAGTTAATTTGGAACTCGTGGTTTGGCACGAGGGTAAAATGGATGCAGTTAATGGGAGTTTGGTTTTTTATCACCTTGTGGTAGAGCCGATCTACTCAACTCGTTTAGGCACTGCATCTGCGCCATGATCCTATAGGGTGGTGGTGTTCCTACGGATGCGGAAAACTCGGCTTCCAGCCGAGTCTCTCGCGAACAGTGAAACATATTTTCAACTCGGTAAGAGTATTCAGTATTAAGCTCCGCTGGATTTTCGGATTTTTTCGTTCCAACGAAAAAAGGTTTCAGATCTGTTCTGGAAACTTTTTTCCTAACAATGAAGCTGCAGGAAGCCTCACTTCTGCTACTAATTTTGTTTCAAGTTGTAATATTAAGTTACTTTCCTTCATTTAGATCATTTAGTTGATTATCGATCAAGAGTCCTAGAAAAGCCAGACCTCTTTCATTTAGGCATCTAACGTGGAGCTTTAGAAGTCAAGTGAATGACATAGAAGAATTGCTAGTGATGCTTGGCTTACCAGGTGATGCATCTCAGCTCACCAGCCAAAGGCTGCCATACACTGTAAGAAGCACTTACGGTGAAAGAGCAGTGCAAATTCCCCAACAAACTTTTCGGTCCGCATACTAGAGTAGGGTAAAATGGAAATGTAAAGATAAACCATAGCCAATTTTGATGATTGGAACGAACAGTGTTAGAGACCTTCCGCTTCATCAAGCTCCACACAGTGATGGAGATGCTTATATCCTCACCCAGGTCGTCTTTTCCTCCCTATCCAGAGCTACTTATCAAATCCGAGATTGGTCTCCTGAAATCTTCACTCAAGTTGAGAAGTGAACCCATAACCTCAAGTTTGGAAGGCCTATGGTCTAGCTAAATTGCCACCCACGCACCTACATACTACACTAGTAGAATATCCAGTAACTTGATATCGGATATACAGTAACGTGAAATCGGATATACAGTGCCTCACCTCCCGTAAACCTAATAATGCAGCTTGATTTGCAGCCAAATCTCTTCTTTTATTGTTGTTGATTTGCACTTGTTTTTTGTTGTTGTTTTTGCCATGGCTGGCTATAATCGCCCTCACCTCCTCCTTGATTGGCCTTGGCCACGAGTGTGTGTGTAATAATAATAACCTACACAAGTTCACACTGTTACCGAAAGCGATGCTTCGGTTGACAAAAATGTCCCGTCATTGTGAACTTGTTTTGTAGGCTCCTCTTCACGAGTTGAGCAGTTTCCGATCCCAGCAACAACTCCAAGTACCTTGGCTATACACGTAGTAATGCTTCCGTCCCTTCACGAAGGTACAGCGCACTGAAAATTCATTGTTTAAGTTTCCGTTGCTGGAAGACAACACAAAATCAAGGCAGCTGCGGTGTACGAGATCCAGTTTACTGTGACGTTTGTAGAGAATCAGTTGCCTTTATAATAATACTTAGGAAAACCACGTTAAATACGCCCTACCTTTTCTGGAGCTGTGGTTCGTGTGCCGTGAAACAGAGGCTTGTCTTCTACAGCCTTTCCGTTCTTCTGTCTCAGCATCTCCCTAGTTTGGCAATATCGCGTCCACAGGAACTTGTTCTGAATACGCTCCACATGATGAATGCGAGCTGATGGTAGGGAGTGGTGCAGAAGGGTTTGGACTAGATGATATTCATCGCCACTTGAATTCACCTGCATGAAGGCAAGAATAAATTGTTTGTGCGTGTAGTGTATGCGCAAAGGGCACTCATCATTAGTTTGGCACCAAATACTGGCAATAACATGAAACTTACACGTACAGTATGGGCCAAAGAAATCCTACCAGGGAGTCAAAAGTAACGCTGTCTTTCTACTTCGATTACATCATGCATGTTCCGAAAATCTCTAATCTTGACAAAGTGGTTTCATATCCTATCGCATGACCATACTGGGTAACCATATTGGTTCCAATCCCACTCACGCCTTACATCTATCTATAGGTCACATGATATCGGCCATGTTGGTTCAACTGTTCACTTGGAATTATCACTTTCCGTACAAGTTCCGGTACATGACAAAAATACGTGGAACCAATCTTTATCTCCGTTAAGACTGTCACCCTGAGCACTTCAAATTCACAACTCACCTGTTTCAGTTCCAGCTGTGTGTCCTGTGGTTCCCACTCTTCAGGCACTGCATACTCACTGGAAAGCACTGATTGCTTCCCTGAAGCCGCTGCAGCCGCCTTGTACAACTATGGCACGACGATCCAAACAAATGGAATTGCAGGTCACCCAAGGACATATTGCATTTCCCAGATCATAAGCAGTACTAGAGTATGGGCCACACTGTCACCAAATACAGACATCTATGCCATTCACCACCTGCGCTATGACCATCGTGGAATAAGCCGCACCTAAAATGTATTGTCTACCCATGCGTCTACACAAAAACGCACCAGCAATCCATTAGGACTTGTCTCTCCGTTATTTTCAAATTTTGAGAAGAAGGGAACAAAAACGTTCAAAATTTGAGACATGTCCTACTTAGCTGGTGATGCGTTCTTGTGTAGCTGACTTCGTGTTAGTGATATTTTCTACGTTGTTCTTAGTTTCCATGTGGCACTCTTTTGTATTTATGTCCATTCAGAGAAAGGATAATACAGTGTTTTTGTAACAGGCGGAGTTACAATAAGACTCTGTACTGACAATTCGCTTTTCCCATTCCTTCACCATAGCAATGAGATCGCACCGAGCGAAGAAGAACGTATGCCCAGTGGTTCTCTAGTCTGTTGTCTCTTTTCTCCGTTCTTATCTACTCTCATTTCTTTAATACTTCTTCCATATATTATTTATTCAATACTACAAAACCTTGTGTTCTGCAAGTGGGAGGGGACTACGTTTAGCCGGGAGTTAACATTTTCATTCCAATGAACCTACTTGCAAAGGATCGACAGTGCGTAACATTTCAAACGCCATTGTTAGAAGTTCATCCTGCATCATATGGAATGGGATGGTCCGTTGCTGTGTCTCCGCGCAAAGCTGTTCAAGGCCTTCTCGCACCTGAACAACGTCATCGAACTGCCCAGTCAGTGAGAGAGATGGACCGTTGGACTCATCCCCGCACCCTTGTGCGGCCGCTGTGGGCTGGGATTTATGCACACGCACGTTGTGACGCATGGCCATAGCATTGATCCTGGTCATCTCATTGCACGTTATGATGTAGCCAAGAAACTTGGACGGGAAATTAAACATGACGTGACATGGAGCATCGTCCTTTGGAAGTGCCTAGAAAGTAAACAAAAAAACATATTTTTATCAAGCCGAGCATCATTACATTGCAGAAACTGTACAGTCACCTATAGGCCTTTGCGGATAATGCCGGCAGAAAATTGTCAGAATTCGGTACTTTTTCTTGTAAGTTTCATGCATGTTTGGTGTGTGGATAAAGAAAGGGTTCAAAATTCGAGGAATTGCCCGCCATGAGATTTGTATGGTTCTGCCAATTTCACTGCTGTTCGAGCAGAATCTGCCAATTTTGGAGCATTGTCCGCACACCCCTAGTCACCTATGTGTGGTGGTGTGTGTGCATGTGTGTTTGTGTGTGTGCCCATGCATGCGTGTACGTCTACCTGCATCCAAGTGTGTGTAGAGGTGCGAGTCAGGACATGCACTCTAAATTATTTCTTGTCCTTTCTAATTTGCATGTGCCCCTACCGATAATGGACCTGAGTATCGATCCTGCTGCCTTGCAGAGAGTGACGTCTCTTTTTTTGACCGGCTTCTGCGACGCATGGAGCGAGGCATAGTGCAATGTATAGTTTCGGAATCTTGGACTGAACTTTGAGAATAAATCTTCGAGTCACTTTCAGTGTAGCATGACTGTGGCCTGGCACGGTGCCGAGAGTCTTGCACACTGGACGAACTGTGTCCTGCTGCAAGCAAAGGAATAACAACAACAAAAAGACACACACACATTCATACATCAACACACTTAAACATAGGCTTTTATTTTTGTTGGTTGGAGGAAAGCAAATCAGCATACGAAGCAAAGAAGCCAAATTTTTTCGACTAGGCATTTCATTCCATTACTCTTCAGGTCGAATACAATGGTGATTAACAAGGTAGTAAGCAAGTCCTTATAACTGGCACTTTTTGGCGGGCAGAGCATTGACAAAAATAGCACTTTAAAAATAGCCCTAGTGGCGCCAACAGCATAATTGGCGGTCAGAGCATGGACCAAAATAGCACTTTAAAAGATAGCGCTAGTGGGGCCAACTACACAGTGAGACAATGAATATTACCAGTATCAGACAACAGTGTGGCCCACGGTACTACAATGTCAAAACTTTCGCACATACTTCTTTTGAACGCACAGCTCAGGCTTCAGCTTGGCAATGTACACTGCCTCCAGCACAGCAAGGTGAGATGTGTTGCTCGCACGCGCTTGAATGGTGAAGTGAGGGTGGTTGCAATGTTTGCAGACTGCACTTGGGCAGGCTAGTGACGACGTCAGGTGACGGAGTATCGCTCAGTCCTTCTCATTATCGCCATTGTCTATTGGTCCATTCCTGTGGTAGCTATTGTGCATCGCAGTTGGGCCGCTGGCGACTTCTCTGCCGGGCGAGAAGTCACACACTGCTCCACATGCCGATCCTGTATCAGCCGCTTGTACGGACAGTTACAGGAACAACAACACCGGTCAGGACAGGGAGAAGCCGAGCAGTCAAGGACATCACCGTCTCGGTCAACACAGGGTGAAGAAAATCAACACCGGTCAAACCACCAGCAACTGTCACATGACGAAGTGAACGGCTGCTTCTCCGCAACAACGCTCTGCAACAAGCGGAGCTACGCTCTTAGGCGCCCAAGAGTATTGTAGTCAATACATAGTGTGGACATTCTCTGCTATTTTGCATTTATATTCGCAAGGTGCTGGAAACTGTCAAGCACAACATTTCACAACTCTATGCTGATGATATTGCCTTCTTCATCATCGGACTGGACCTTCCTGCTATGTTACAGGACCTCCACCACGATCTTGCTGTCTTGGAGCTCAATGTAAATGAGAAGGCGCTCATCATGAACCCTGATAAGACCCAGTTTCTCATTCTGCCAAGAGTGCAGATAGCAAGGCTCTTGGCCTGTAAAGTAAAGGCTCTTACCACTACTAGCACTGCCAGATACATTGGTTCAGTGATAGATGACAATCCCACCTTCTAGCCAGAGGTTCAGAAATTGGGAAATCAATGTTTGCTAAAGTTACTGCCTTCCAACACGGTCGTAGAAAGTTAACCAGTGAACCGATTCAAAGAGAACATTTTACTTGTCTAATATTCAGTTCACTTTAGACTCGGCCAGTAGTGCTTACTTACACTGTTCTACATTGTTCAAGCTCAACTCTGTGCAAAAGAATTGTGACCGTTAGTCACATAGCAATGAAGAGAGTGTTTGGACTCGATCGTACCACGGCCACTGAACTAGTTCCTCACCCGGCATTTTGCAACGCCTCTTCTTCAATACTTTTACCTGCTTCGGGCAACTGCACCTGGTCACCAGGCATTCACGCGGGGCAAAGCATAAAAAGCCTTTTGTAGTTCTCCCAACGTATATAATGCAGCATGACGTGGGTTCTATTTCTCTTCTGGTGGTAGGCAGATTGATTTCTATTCCACTTCAATGTCGCCACGCCCAGTCACTTTTTCTGATCATAAGCATGGTTAAACTTCACCAAGTACACAGTAAAAACAGCAGTAGCCTGTTTGGACTCCCCTAGAAATAAAAATCTACTACCACCACTACTACATATTTGGTGTTTAGGAAGATGATGGTGATAAAGGTGAAACTCAGTGTGTTATAATTATGCTAACTAACCTGCGCATGCATTTTGTGAGGTAGGTTCCTGCGATTTGTCCCTTTTCGTCTGAAGCTCCTGTTGTCAGGGTGCTAAACCAGCCGGCTTGGCGGCCGAAGGTTGACTGAGGCGGCATGGACTGGTGTTGCTGCATTGGAGATGAGAAGACACGGCAGACAATGTGCACTCAGTCACACTGATTTGAAGTTTGTGAATGTCACAGCTTTCCACAAAAGCTTCTCACCTATCGAGGTTTTCTCCATAATGTCTAACCTGTATAAAATGTGAAGACCAATAGTTAAAAACTAAGATGGTCAATCAGGCAAATTTTGAAAAATGTAAATCTTTCGTGCCGTGGAATGTCTCAGTACTCCTTGTTAGTTTTGTGTTGACTTCCGCACATGTGACCATCCAAAATCTGGTTTAATTGGTGGACTCGATCGCATAACTTGTTCCACATATAACCATTTTGGCAATGGCTATACAGAAAGATGGAAAAATAAAGTTGAGCGAGAGGGAGGGAGAGGGAGAGACAGAGACAGAGACAGATATAGAAAGAGAGAGAGAGAGAGAGAGAGAGAGAGATGGAGGGAAAGGGAGAGTGATAGAGAGAGAAAGAGAGACAGATAGCCAGAGGGACAGAGAGAGAGAGAGAGAGAGAGAGAGATAGAGAGAGAGAGAGAGAGAGAGAGAGAGAGAGAGAGAGAGAGAGAGAGAGAGAGAGAGCGAGAGAGAGAGAGAAACGGAGAGAGAAACGGAGAGAAACTGAGAGGGAGAAACAGAGACAGAAAGACAGCGAGAGGGAGAGACAGACAGACAGACAGAGAATGAGAGAGAGCCAGACAGACCGAGAGAGAAGAGACAAAAACAGAAACCGAGATAGACACAGATAGACATGGAGTGACACGGAGAAAGAGATACAGTGAAAGACCGATAGAGGGAGACACACAGAGGGAGAAAGATCGAGAGAGAGAGAGGTAGTGAGAGCGAGAGTGAGAGAGGGAGTGAGAGCAAGAAAGGGAGAAAGAGAAAGAGAGAGAGTCGCTCTGTACAACTTTAAGCCTAGCAATGCCTGCAGATCTACGGCTGCACTATGTCTATCTTGGAAGTCACTCACTTGAACGTATTTCATTGCGCTGCACCGTATTAGGCAGGATATGTTTGTCTAAACAGTCCGATTGCTATCTATTGCATCACTCTCAGTCATAGTCATAACCTGATCTGGTATAACGGGTCACATAGCAAGTACACTTCACGAGCTGCATCTGCGCTATTATCCACAGAGAGTGCTGGGTGATCAAGAGTCATCTGTCCCTTAGTGATAGTTGTCGTGAGTTGTACAGAGATGATCTTTTCTCAGTTTTGGCAGATCTGTATTACACTTGGCTACTTTGGAAGCCTTATATATCCGTAAGTTGTCCCCTGAACTATGTGTTCAGCAGGAACATGTTTTGTCACTGCATTTTTTGGCGCCAATCCTCGTGAAATTGTCAGGAATTCTTCTCCTAACTGATGTTTTCAATATGTTTTAGCCATTTCTTCACCTTCACCCTGTGTTTGATCTGTTCTGCTGGATTTTTTTCCCACACGTATAGCGTGAGGTTCTCCATTTATGGTTTTGCTGTAGCTCTATAAATTGCTGCATTTTGACACTTTTTCCATTATTCCTTGCACTTACGCATGATGAGAAGGGAATGAAAGCATTCGGTTAACAAACTGGCTTACTTGCCTGTGTGGATTGCGTCGGTGCTGCCACCTTTTCTTTCGAAATAGGTTAAAAAATCGTAGTTTAGCAAGTATGCAGATATTGTGCAGGGAACCACACACCAACCTAGGGTACATTTATTTTAATAAAGGACTTTGCAACATTTAATTGTTACATGACTCAAGGCGGTAGCCACTGGATTGTATGTGGTCCGGCCAAAATGGATATTTGGGCAGAACATTAAGCAGCATTGCTGACGATAACCCCCTTGTTGCACCAATGGATCGACATTATCCAAAATGAGGTCAGGGCATACCCGTGTAGACCGGACAGACTGCTATGGCCCTATAACTCTATGGCAACTCACAATGATGTAGAAGATAGTCTTCCTCTCTGCTTATGCGGTGCTCAGTACTGTCATTTTCAGCGCTTCACTTTCTTGAATATATGTAAGAAACTGGAGATTTTCAGCTGCGAAAAACACTGTTCAAAAGGACTTGAATGCACCTTTAGTTGATCTCTCATCTGCTCAAACTATCGATTACCACACTCTGCGCAATGGCTTATGATTGCGGTGAGGTGGATTGTGAAGTGTTATGTCTACAGACATAACCATGAAAGGGATTATGATTGTTGAATTTTCGGCAACCATATACGTATACAAGGGCCAGTAGCAACTTGGTAAGTATAAGTGATTTTGATCACAGAAGATAGGCAAGGCGTGTACAATACTTCTAGGTTGTGAAAATTGAAATTACCTCATCTCCCCAGCTTGGTTGGCTTGGTGGCTAAAGTCAGAGCAATGGTCCAGGACTGGTTGGAGTGCTAGTAGTAGATCTACTGTGCTTGTGTTCTCAGGTGGATACAATGTACTAGCTAGGGCTAGTACCACGTCAAGCCGCTGCCATGTAGCGTCTCTCGGCCCTTATTCACAGCACACTTCTCAGCACTCAGTGCAGAGACTGCGCGTGGTGCCGTGTCGCGACCCGCTGGTTGGTCCTACGTCCCGGTATTGCTCGCAACCGTAACTGGGGATGCTGCATCCAAGGCATGTGCTGTGTCCAGGTCCACTTGGTAAGTCGATACGATGGTATCGACCTGCTCGCAACGATCACTTAGTCTTTCAAATGTTTCATTCATCCGTAGGCGTGCACATAACCATCACATCACCTCCCTGATCTGCCAGAGAACACAGAATACATAGAAGTGGCACTCCTTGCGATGCTGGAAAAGGCCCACTAACTTCGCAACGAGAAGCGCCAAACTAATCGCTTCGGAGTTCGCACTCTGAAATTGTGCGGCAGTAAAGGAAATGCGTGTATTTTCCAAACAGTAGCGTCTGCGGCAGGAATGCCTTAGGAGAGTCCCAAACAGGTCCCCATCCATTTGCTAGCTGTTCAGTGCAGCTATGAAACAAAACTAACTTTCAACATGATAAACTTTCAACATTCCGATCCGGGTTGGTGACAGGGTCCAGGAAATTGGCCGCTAAACAGTGCACTGCCGATGCAATGCAAAGTCATCATTCAAATCACTAGACATTGCCATGGACCATTTTGACACGGAGAGAAAGTTGGAATACGCACTGCTCAAAGAAATCCCATCGTGCGAGTCACTCGGCTTTTTGGCCCTCCACATGCACCAGTCTAGTGCAGAATCACAGTGGTCGTGGTGCATTGCATGTTGCACGGTGCCTAGCCTAGCACGTACTTGATAAATAAATCGGATTTCATGAAGCCGGGCTGAGTCGCTCCAATGTTCTAGTACAGTCACGTACAATGTCCACTCATATCTCCATTATTCGGACATCCAAGTTACCCGGTTACGACACCTCGATCGACGGGGCAACATGTAGATGATCTGTAGTAGAAATATTATACATGTACTACTATAATACTATACTATACTAATAATACTAATCCTCATCTCATTTATCTTTGCGTGCTTGCTTGCTTGTATTGCTGAGGGAACATAATAATTATGCTGGTTTGTTTTCGTGGGTCCCCATGGTGCATGGGCCACGCGTACTCATCCGGCGGATATGTGTGAATAATAAGAAGAGGTTGGCGCCACTACGCCGATATTTGGGGAATTGTGCGGGCTCCCTACATGGTCCGCGAGCTCGCGGTTTTCCTGCCGACTAGATTTCTCACTGGACTAACTCACGACTGCCATCCGGTGCGCACGAAAAGTCCATCGCACCGTCCACTCGTCAAACAGGTCAACGGTAGCACTACAACTGCCTAATCCTCAAACCTAGCGAAGCAATGAGAATCGATTCTAAAACATTCGATCCTTTGGCTGCATTTTCATAGTTCATAGTTGCTTCCCCTTCCACATCAATGCAGTTCATTCATTCATTTTGCGCAGCTAAGAGCATGCACGAGGGCTGGAAGTGTTTGCATATGGAATTAAACCACTGCCCGTGGAGTAGGAGAGTTCTGAGACTATACTAAGTACTAATAAGGAAGAGTACATGTGTTAAGAGTAAGAGTTATGAGAAACTTCCCGCCACTTCAGCAAAATAATTATTATAATCCCCGTAGCTATTGCAAGATCATAACTTGAAGCAACATTGAAAAAATGAGTATGTATGAGAAGTGTATCGGGGGAATGCATGCAGGGCGATAGTGCGGGTTTGAATCCCAGGTTGTCTTAATAAAAAAATTGGAGAAATGAAAAACTTATAACATCCCTATGCTTTTTTTGCCTAGGTCATCAAGGTGGTAGACGGTGTCGTATTACCGTCGAATGCAAAGAGAAAGTTTCATGTACCCAATCAATGAAAAAAACCCACATTTCCACCAGTTCTAATAACATGCATGAAGAGCTAGCTAGGCAAAAGCATAGCGTACGACCCTGAGCTTCCAAGCTTTGTCGATAAATTAACGCAATAAATAGAGTAAGCTGCGCCCTCAGTACAAACACCATTAGCAAGTCTTGCTTTCATGTATAATAAGTATTAATTGTTACTTGAACGTTTTTGTGGCCATCTATTCAGAATGATTACTGGCAAAAAAAAATAATTCAAAACTCAATGTAAAAACGAACAATTCAAGTAGTAACTTAGAGCTGGAAGAAAATCATGCAAATCAACGCTAGAAGGTGACAACAAAATTAGGGCTGAAACAATTCTACCATACTCGAGTATTCGTTGTTTTTTTAATTAATCGTACTCGGAATAAATCAGAGTACTTGTTCATACATAGTACATGCATTTACCACAGAAATCGGCAGTTTCAGAGCAGCAGTTGGCAGATATTGATGTGCAGACTGTGTGGTGAACATTTGCTCACGATTAGAGAGAGAACACACAATTCCCCAAGTATCCCCAAAGTCGCACCGACCTCTTCTTAGTTTTGTTGTCCCCAGGACGGGCTTGCGAATTAGATGGTTTGGAGGCATCAACGTTGCGAATGGCGAGCGGTTCTCGGCTCTTGTTCAGCACCTCCGTCAGCGACACTGACTCACGCTGCTATCTGGTGTTAACGAGGTGTTTGTCTCGCTGGAAACGGAGCGGCTCTGTATGTTTGTATCCCTGGTGAAGTTTGTGCCTGGAGACCACCATATGAGTGGTGCTCTTAAGGCACAATCTTCCTCAGCCTACTCAAACTCAACTGATGAGGGGTGAATTCCCCGAAACACTGTGTATTGCAATATTGGGAGAGAGTGGTGCTTTCTTCCAGATTTTGACGAGTGGACGGTTCAATGTACTTCTCGTGTGCTCTCGATGGCAGTCGATGAGTCAGTCAAGTGTAAATTCAAGTCGGCAGAAAAAGCGCGAGCTCTCATATATGGAGCAACACACAATTTTCTAGATGCTGTTTGTACAATTGTAGTGCGCACTGTCATAAACTTTCAAGTCTGAGTAACCTTTGTGCTCCGGGGTGACTTCATGTATAGCTTATAGATTCTTCCACAGTCCATTTCAAAACTATAGACGCGTACCTAGGCAAAAACCGTTATGCCAGCATCTATACCACATACAATCTGTCATCACTTTGTGCATAATTGTTTCCAAAAATTAATTGGGCGTCTTTTATCCAATCGTGGACCAGGCAGGCACAGTGGGTTGGTGAAAGACCATGATTGAGATACGAGAGGTACCTAGTTCAAGGCCTGCCTGGGAGCGGTTTTTCCAGCCGTGCTGCTACCCACAGTCAACTGGGAACTTGTGGCCAGGCACAAGGGGTACATGGATGCGGCTAATGGGGTCGTTCTCGGCACTTGTGCCAGTGGTTGTGAGACTTGTCCACTCACCCCCACCGTTAGGCACTGCATCTGCTGCTAGGTTTAACCGGGTGTTAGCGGCCGTCGTGAGTTCCCTTCGGGAACGGACACGATAATTTACTTTTTCTATTTATCCAATCGTTTAGAAACTATAATGATTGTGGAGCGGACCTGAGCAACAATCCTAAAACTATGTGTATGGTATTGATGGTATGGTATTGACTTAGTTGAATTTGCTATCTCAACAGTGAAATGTACAACTTGGGAAGATCCGAATACCATTCTCAAAAAGTTCCAGCCAAATTTGAAATATTTCAAAAACACTGCGCGTCTATAGGTTTGAAATGGACTGTAGGATTTTTGACAGACGCTGAGTTCTCACACAGTGTGGGATGAAATTGGCAGACAATTTTGCCAGCACTGTTGATTTAGACGATTAGGCAACACCACTTATGTGCACCTGCATCACCGAATGCGGATTGTGTATAAAAGCCCAGTGAACCGATGACTCTTGTTTTGAGAAAGCCCGACCCTTCCCGATGTTTGGATACTTTATGACAAGTGCCTTATTCGACTGGATGTGTGCATGTGTGTTTGCGTGATACTTGCGACATTTTACCCACTATCTTTTTAAAGTATTATCCGCCTGCGATCGCTTTAAAAACATTATAATATTATTATTATAATTATTATGAAGAAGAGGTTGGCGCTAGTAGGGGAAGAGTGTATTGCTCCCTACATGGGAGCTCGCGGTTTTCCTGCCGACTTGAATTCTCACTTGAGACGACTGCCATCCAGAGCACACGAGAAGTCCATCGAACCGTCCTCTCGGCAAACCTGCAAGAAAGCACCACTCCCTGCTCAATACGCAGTGTGTCGTGGACTTCACCCCTCATCAGTTGAGCTTGAGTAGGCTGAGGAAGATTGTGCCTGAAGAGCACTACTTATATTGTGCTCTCCAGGCACAAACATCACCAGGGATACAAACTGATACAGATGCTCCGTTTCCAGCGCTTTGTTGTCCCCAGCGTGTTGTGCCCATCGCGGGATTGCGAATTAGATGGTTTGGAGGCAACAACTTTGTGAATGGCCAACGGTCCTCAGCGCTTGTTCAGCACCTCCATGGTTAACGAGGTGTTTGTCGCGCTGGAACGGGAGCGTGTCTGTAAGTAGAGCTTTAGTTAGGTTTTCGAGAGTCCGGTACCAGGTCTCGAGGTGTCTTTTCTGCCTAGGTGGGCCTACGGCTGATAGAACTATGGGGAAAATACCAGCGAGAAACAAGTGGAACTATGATGAAAAGAGCTGCTGCCAAGAGGAGGATTGCAGATGAGCTGAATCTGTACGCAAAACAGCTATCCGGAGGTGATCAGGAAATGATATACACGGCCGCTATCGTTCACAACTCCAGCAAACTCAGCTGTGGAGACGCTCCACCAAGATCATACTAGCGGACAAAGAAATAGTAATTATTCTTGAAATTTTGAGCCATAAGCCGCGCACTGTGCGCTCAGCTCATCCAGAAATCAAAATTCCCGCTCTTCCTTCTGGGTCACGCGGGTCACTTTTTTTCGGCTTGCATGCACAGCATTTGACTGTGTGAATGCACAGGCGTTTCAAGTGACTGGTGCTGTCATGTAAACACGAATGTTTGTGCCTTGTGTGACTACCGCCTTAGCCATCCATGCCGCTCACGCTACTGTTTGGAAAATGCACGCATTTCGTTTGCTGCCGCATGATTTCAGATTGTGAACTCCGAAACGAATAGTTTGGCGGTTCTCGTTGCGAAGTCAGTGGTCCCTTTCCAGCCGCGCAAGGAGTGCTAGTTCTATATAATCCTGTGTGTGCCTGGCAGATCAGGCAGATGATATGATGATTATGTGCACGCCTGCGGATGAATGAAACATTTGAAAGACAAAGTGATCGTTGTGAGCAGATCGATAACGCCATATCGACTCTACCAGTGAAACGTGGACACAGCACATGCTGTGGATGCCGCATTCCCAGTTACGGTTGCGAGCACTACCGGGACGCAAGCCACCCTGCGGGTCGCGACACGGCATCACACGCAGTCTCTGCAGTGAGTGCTGCGCAGTGTGCTGTGAATCAGGGCCGAGACGCTACGTGGCAGTGGCTTGACGTGGTGCTAGCCCTAGCTAGTACATTGTATCCACCCGAGAACACAAGCACAGTAGATCTACTACTAGCACTCCAGCCAGTCCTGGAACATTGCTCTGACTTTAGCCACCAAGCCAGCCAACCTGGGGAGATGAGGTATGGTCCATTTTCACAACCTAGAAGTATTTACCACGCGGTGCCTATCTTCTGTGATCAAAATTACTTATACTTTCCCGTATCCGTTCAGCATATGCGAATCTGTGGGCATTTATCATGTACAAATTGCTGACATTGACGCGGAAATGCGATTAATAATAAAAAATATTGTAATGTTCTCCGGTCGTCCTTAGTAGGTGTCGAGAGCACACCGAATAGCTAACTCAACACGGTCTCGTTGTGAGGCAAAGAGACCTTTTCAGTATCAGTGCAAGAACATAAAATAGTCGCGAAAGAAACATGATACAGCAAGACAGTGGCGGGTACTCCATATCGGGATCTAGTAGAGTACTTGAGGGTACGGTACTGTGCATGACACATCTAGATATGGGATGAATCATGAAAGGGATACCGTAATGGACAGTCTAGAATCTATCAAGAGAAGAGTACAAATATGAGAACAAGCATGCACAATGGGTACACACACACATACAGAAAAACACTATACATTAATACTAAGTCGCTAGTGGACCGTGTGCCCGTCTGTGGTTGCCGAAAATTCATCAATAACAATCCCTCTCATTGTTATGGCTGTAGACATAACACATCTTAATCCACCTCACCGCAATCTGGTCATAAGCCATTGCGCACAGTGTACTAGTCGATAGTTTGAGCAGATGAAAAGCCAACCAAAGGTGCATTCAAGCACTTTTAGAACAGTGCATTTTGCAGCTGAAAATCTCCGACATGTATTCAATAAATTGAAGCGTTGAAAATGGCAGTATTGAGCACTGCATAAGCAGAGAAAACCATCTTCTACATCATTGTGAGTTGCCATGGAGTCATAAGACACTCTGCCCGGTCTACACGGCCATGCCCGAACCTCATTTTGGATAATTTCGATCTATTCGAGCAAAACTGGGTTTTTTCAGCAATGCTGGGTGATTTTCTGCCTAAGTATCCAAGTTGGTAAGAACATGTCGATTCTTGTACAATTTCTGCATACTTGCTAAAATACAAAAAAAAAACTGTTAACGTTACACTCAGCTTCAGGTCCAGTTTTCCGCATCGGCAACGCGTCAGCACCCTCTGTGGATTACGACGCTGATGCAGCTCCTGAAGCGTACTTGCCATATAACTGATTATACTAGATCATGATATGACTATGACTGAGAGTGATGCAATAGATGACCGTTGAACTGTTTAGTAAATCATATCCTACCCAATACTGTGCTGCGTAATGAAATCCTTTCAAGCGAGTGAATTCCAAGATAGACACAGTGCACAAGAAGGTTTAAAGTTGTACAGAGCAACTGGCTGGCGAAGATCGCAATACGCAACGATCTCTCTTTCTTTCTCTCAATCTCTGTCTCTCTGTGTCTCTGTCTTTCACGGTGTCTCTATCCGTGTCTCACCATGTCTTTCTGTCTCTATCTCTCTCTCTTTGTCTATTTCTCTGTCTCTGTCTCTGTCTCTCAGTCTCTGGCTCTGTGTCTCTTCTCTCTCTATCTGTATGGCTCTCTCTCTCTCTCTCTCTCTCTCTCTCTCCCTCTCTCTCTATCTATATACCTCTCTCTCAGTCTCTATCTTTCTCTCTCTATCTCTCTCTCTGGCTCTCTATCTGTCTCTGGCTCACTCTGTCTCTGTCTGTCTGTCTCTATCGCTATTTATCTCTCTCTCTCACTCCCTGTCACTCTCTTCTCTTTCTCCCTTTCTCTCTCTCTCATAATCTCTCTGTGTGTTCTCTCTCGTTCTTTCTCCCTATTTCACTATCTGTCTCTGTCTCTATCTAACTTACCATCTATCTATCCATCTATCTATCTATCTATCTATCTATCCTTGTATCAATCTATCTATCTTTCTATCCATCCATCTATCTATCTATCGATCTTTCTATCTATCTATCTATCTATCTATCTAGCTAGCTAGCTAGCTAGCTATCTAGCTATCTCTCTATTTATCTATCCATCTATCCATCTATCTATCTATCTAGCTGACTCTCTGTTTGTCTATTTATCTATCTATCTTTATATCTATCTGTCTATCTAACTATCTAACTATCTCTCTTTCTCTCTCTTTCTCTCTCTCTCACTTTCTCAATCACCTACATTGTTGTTCTCTACATCTACTTGTATAGCTATTGATAACATGGTAAAATTTGGGCACCAGTTATGCGATCGAGTCCACAAACTGAACCAGATTTTTGAACCGTCAAACATGCACAAACTAGCACAAACCTCTTATGGAAACCCCCTCGATAGGTGAGAATCCTTTGTGTAAATCTGTGCCAAAAACAAACTTCAAATCAGTGGGAACCATTGCACATTGTCTGCCGTGTCTTCACATCTCCAATGCAGCAACATCAGCG